GAAAAAAACCGATGTGATGCCTATGAATTGCAACAAGATGGTGATACAATCTGCTGACCTTCTGTACTAAAACCTTCATCCAACTTTTACTAAAAGACCACTCAAATCTTACGCCCACGTGCTCGCGAACCGAAGGATCTTGTTGCGAGGTAGTGGAAAATTGCATTGAGACGAACACATCACATCATCAAAAAGGTCTACCAGAGTACGATATGATGGTTATGAATTGTAACAAGATAATGAGTGGTGACCAATCAATTCAGCATGAAGATAGTGATGCAATCTCCTGCTTACCTGCATCACAATCTTCACCAGTCTCTTACCAAAATACAGCTTAAACCTTATACCCATGTGGAACTCTTTCTGGTAAGTCTGGTAAGCTTGTGAAAAGGTTATGCTCCTAACATTCTTATCCAAATCGATAAGAATAGGGCATACACTTCCCCCAAATCGATCGATCGAGAATTCCTCACTGATTGAGCGAGAAACCATGTCGATAAGGCTGAAAGAACATTTAGGAATTTAAGGGTGAAGACAAGTCCACTAGAATCTAGAGTACAAGATATTAGGATTTGAATGAGAAGCCATGCCGAGAACAAACGTTTTTTTTTCCTCGATGTATTGTTTCAGCATGATCCAGTTTTACATTGAGAATGGAACAAGCGAAGGAAGGTGAAAATGCAGAAATAGAAGTCACTAATTATGATTATGTGGTTAATCATCATAGTAAGGTCAACTAGTTTCTTAGCCAAAAAGGAAATAGGTCTAAGCTTAAGAATAGTAAAAAACTGCTTAAGATTTGACAAGGCCAAAAACATTCCGAAATTCACAATACTTTGTGAGGGCTGTTTCAAAGTTCAAAAATTAAACATAGAACCTTTGAACCAACAGAATGATAAGGAAGAAAGATACAAAGCAGCCTGCATAAGTATGCAGTGACACGATTGGCTACCTTAGAGTGATGCTTTTAAGCAAACCAAAGGCCGATAAGTCTAGAGAAGTTCAGAGTAAAGCTCGATCTTCATACAATGATGAATATGGTGGAATCTCAAGCCATTACACTGAAAAATTACAAGGTTGAACAGTTAATGGACAAGAATACTGGTGAGTTGGGCTACAAGCAAGAGGCTAAGTTTACCTTACCGGAAAGTACGTGGATAAGGAGCTAGGATTTATTGTCGAGTACCAGACCTAAGTGAAGTTCAAGGAGTCTGTTTATCCCAACAAGATTGGATCTTCATCATCCGAATCCAACTACGACAACAACAAGAATCGTAACTGCTTTTAGAAATTGGTGAGAATAACGTCTGTTACCGATGAGTTTTCCAAGAAAAGCAATTAATGTAAACGAAGTCAAAACTCGAAGATTTTGGTGTAAAGTTGACGGTCAAACGTTAAGGAACTTGACTTCAGGGTTGAAGTGAGTAAAAAGGTTATCGATAGAACAATCGGCAAAGATTCATTCTACAGATTCACACGAGTTTCTTCAGTGGTAATGAGTCTGAGAACATTGATTTGCTCCCACCAACTACCACTTACTAACCGCCTTTACAACTAGCACTTACTCGCTTTCTCAAACACGCACTTCGAATATTTCAAGTAGTTGCCACTACGATATGACTCTGCCTGCCATTCCTAGGGAACGCATGTCGCAGAGTGATATCACCGTTTCAGATTTCTAGTTGATCTTAACCAACCCGTACCGCCAAGATTTTTCCGTTTCCCAAGATTTCGATGTAGAGCCGACTCTGCCCGCAATTCCTATGGAATGCATGTTGCAAAGTGGCATCGCCATTTCGAATCTACCGTTAGTCTCGACCAGACTTCCTCAAACTGAGATTTCTAAAACACGTCACCTCCAAGTAACATCGACTCTGCCCAGCATTCTTAGGGTCGTCGCAAAGTACAACACCGCTTCAGATCTTCCAAATTCGACTCACTTAAGTTTTTCCGTTTCCCAACACTCCTAGGTAGATCTAATTATGTCTGCAATTCCCAGGGAATGCATGTTGCAAAGTATCGATCTGATGTTGAAAGTTATCCAACAATCTATTTCATCACTACTGAGGCACAATCCCGACACGAATTCTTGTATTTCAATCAGAATGTGACAATTCAAATAGAGAGAGGTTTGCACAACTGTGCCAAATGGCACCAAATCCGAAAGTCATGACATCCAAATGACATCATGACCGACACACTAAGAGAATAGAAGAGAATCCTAAGTATGCTCTGATACCAATCTGACACGCCCCGATCTTGACATTCCCCGAATACCAGGATAGGCACGTGCTGGCCGATACTCGAGGGTGACGAAAGCCATTTATTAAATGCAAATGCTAAAAATAAGGGGTAGATAAGGCTTATAAATATAAAAGAATAATGAATATGCAGTTAAGGAACGTGTTCAGAGCATACGACTAGCTAGAACACTAAAAGAAATAATATAAAAATGAATGAAACAAAGGAGTGGGTCCTACACCGAGAGGACTCGAAGATGCCGATGCGGAAGTATCTGGACGTCGGGATTATATGCCTCGATTCTAAGTCCTGAAGGGGGCACAAAACAAACATAAGTGGACCAAGTTAAGATATATATATATATATATATAATAAAACAATTATCAATGTACTAACCCCCAGGTTTTATGAAAACACATATATATCATGATAAACATAGGTTTTCCGAAACCTAGCATGTCGTGCAATGTCTCAAATCATAACTTGTATATATAATAATCACTAGTGAATATCCGATAACCTCGATGCCCCATGCCGGCTCCTCATCTCTGAGCAGATAGTCAAAGGAAAATACACTTCAGGCCCCATGCCGGCTTCCCGTCCCTGTGCTAAATAGACAGAGGAAACACACTTCAGGCCCTATGCCAACACCAAACCGTCACCCGAGACGAACCGGAATCTATCCCTACGTCCCATAGCGGAAAGGACCACTAGGTAAGTACAAAACCAGTGAACATACATATGTTGAAAAGAAACTTTATAGTATAAAGTCATCCATCATCTATACTATAAAGAGGTGTTCTAAACATGTTCTAAATATCATATCGTCATCCATCAGATATTCTATAAGAACACGGGTTATAGGAAAAATAGTACTAATTTAAACTGGCCTCAGTAAACATGTTATCTCATAAAACGTTTCATAAAACATAGTCATCAAATCATGATTTTCATGCAAATTAGCAGAGACAGAATGCCACAATAAATTGCGCCTAAGCACATTGAGGGTACAATTTAGTCAAACTCTACTCAAACGATTGAATTTGGGAAAACGGACATCGGAAACAGGTTCAAGACGTCGAAATTAGCCTAGGAAAGGTCGTGAACGAAAACCCAAAAAGTCAACATTGACCTTTGACCAGTCAAAGTCAAAGTCAACGGATCCAGATTGGTCAACGGGTCAGGTCAATCCGGGTCAAAGGTCAACCTGGTTTTGGCTTAAAGGGTTTGGACCTAATAGGTTTTAGGGTTTAAATAAATGGGTTTAGGGTTAAAGGGCCGAAGGCCTTAAAAGGAAACGGCCCAAAGGCCTTTAACAAATAATTTAAAACAAAAAAAAAAATAATAAAAAGGGCTTGGGCTTGGGTATGAAACAGGCCTTAGGCTGAAGGCCTGGCCCATCAGCCATTTGGGTTTAAAAGGATAACAGGCCTAAGGCCCAAGGTTTGGCATAGACTAAAGGGCCTGGTTCAAAAGGATTTGGGCTAGAAAGCCCAGCCTAAGTTCAAACCATGGGTCACCGGACCCAATCGAAGGAGAATGCTGGATTTCGGTCGAAAAATTCCCGAGCTCCGATGGAGCTCAAAACTCAACCAAAACATGTCATTCAATATATCAAATTGAAGCCCCGAAAGTAAGGAATCGAGATATACCCTTGGTTCTCGTCATCGTGGCCGAAGTTTGCCGGAAAATGGTCTGGAAGCCACGGGTGTCCGCCGGAAACTGGGTAAGATTCAAATGGATATAACTTCTTCAATACTCAACGAAATTGGGTGAAACAAAAAGAAAAGTTGTAGTACTCGACGAGACGAACAGATTGAAACCTGCATGCCGGCGAATTCACCATGGTTTGGCCAGAAATTGCCTCGAAAGGGGTGGTGCTCGCCAGAAAACTGGGGAAATGTCTCCGAGGTGGTTTCTTCGTGGTTTGACGTCCAAAACACAACCATGGGGTTAGAAAAGAACTATAGGGATGAAAAGAGAAGCATTTGGAGTGTTTTGAGGCTTACCCAAAACGGAAGGACGAGGAACTTGCCAGAGTTTCTCTGTGCTCCACAGAGATGAAGAGAGAGAGAGGGAGAGAGCTAACGTGGTGATGATGGTGATGCTGTCGTCGTTGATGAGGTGTGGGCACGGGTGTGTGTGGATTGTTTTCAAAGAGGAGGGGGACATCGCAGAGAAGGGAGAGAGTTGTAGAGTTTCGGGGGAGAGAGAAGAGAAAAGTGATGGAGAGAGATGAGTCCACAGGGAAAAGGGGAAACTGGGGACACAAAACAGAGGTGGGTCCCTTGGGCACACCATTTAAGACCCAAAACAATTTTAAAAAGGAAAGTATTCCCCAAACTTAGTGAAAATACAAAAATACCCTTTTTCTTCCGTAAATCTTGGGACGGGTTGTTACACGTATCACGTCAGCACAAATTTTTTGGTTTCACAATTCACACCCGCCAACGTTTGTAATAGTATTACAAGTGAGTAGCACAACTCCTTGGTATGATGGTATCACGTGCAGCTGAAGCTAGCATAACACCTAGTTTTCACTCCTATCAATTATGATAGCGTAACGCAACTATCGTCATCATAACTCTTTAAATTTCGCATCTACTAGCGACTTTGACGGTGCCAAGGACACTAACACAACTCAATTGTACATTCATATTAACCAACAAACGCCATTAGAGTCCAAATGCATTGCAATGCATCCCATTCACCATTAATATTGGCACACCCCACACCTCCCATTAAAACCCAACTTCAACCAAACACTGCCCAACCACCAAACCTAGCACCAACAATAAGTAACCCACCCCCAGCGCATTTTAGCAAACCCCAAGGCCAAAATGGCGCACCCCATTGCGGAGGCGAACGAACAAAGCCCCTTCGGCGCGTTGACCCCAGAGGCATTCTATTCCCGCCACAACGTCTCTCACGCCTCCGAGTACTTCACAAACCCTAGAGGCCTCAATCGCTTCACCCAGTGGTGGACCCCGCTCGCTCCGACCGAGATTGTAGGAACCCTCGCCATCGTCCACGGCTTCACCGGCGAGACCAGCTGGTTCGTCCAGCTCACCGCCGTCCACTTCGCCAAGTCTGGCTTCGTCGTCTGCGCCATTGATCATCAGGGTCACGGCTTCTCCGATGGCCTCGCCGCCCACATCCCCGACGTCAACCCCGTCGTCGACGATTGCATCTCCTTCTTCGACTCATTCCGAGCCAATCACGCGCCGAAGAATCGCCCCTCGTTCCTCTACGCCGAGTCCCTCGGTGGCGCCATCGCACTCCTCATGACTCTCCGGCAGGGAAGCGGCACGTGGGATGGCCTCATCCTCAATGGCGCCATGTGCGGGATCAGCCCCAAGTTCAAGCCGCCGTGGCCGCTCGAGCACCTGCTATTTCTCGTCGCCGCGGTGATACCGACGTGGCGAGTTGTCGCCACCCGCGGATCGATTACGGACGTGTCGTTCAAGGAGGAGTGGAAGCGGAAGCTGGCGCTGGCGAACCCGAGGAGGCCGGTAGCGAGGCCTCGCGCATCGACGGCTCTTGAGCTGCTGAGAGTGTGCAAGGAGCTGCAGGGGAGATTCGAGGAGGTGGAGGTGCCGGTGCTGATAGTTCACGGCGGCGACGACGTCCTTTGCGACCCGGCTTGCGTGGAAGAGCTGTACAGGCGCGCGTCGAGTAAGGACAAGACGATCAGTATCCACGAGGGCTTGTGGCACCAGCTGATTGGCGAGTCCCAGGAGAATGTGGACTTGGTGTTCGGAGAAATGGTGGAGTGGCTTCGCACTCGAGCTGAACGCGCCGCCATCTCGAATGGTGGCTGCGATGGTGCTTAGTCTAGAACTCTAGGGCTTTGTCCTGAGTTTAGTGGGGTTTTGTTGATAATCGCTGTGTTAGGTTAAACATGGAGTCAGGAAGAAGAAGCATAAGCTGCCAAGGGAAGCATGCCATGTCACTTATAATTTAAATAAAATATATTAATTAATTAAAAGAGAAATGCTAGGGAAATTAAAACTGTAGACTAAATTTAATAAACTAAATGATATGAAAATTGATGATTGGATTATTAATTACGTATTGATTAACGTGTTTATTTCTAATTGATGACACGTTATTTTTTTTTACAAATTTAGTCTACGTAACATTACTTTAATTAAAATTTAATAGGGTATGCCCAAATTCCCAAACCAAGTATGTGCTTGTTAATCTTTTGTAACAAAAAAATAAAAATAAATATATTCCAACCTTAGGTATCCAAATACGAGCTTGAAAATACGTGGAGTGATCTAGTGGTAAAAGACGAATTTATGGTCTATATTTCATATGACACGTTTTGGGTTCAATTTCTGGTGTTGATGGGTTTGATTCCTACTGGTGAATCAGTGCTAGTTGGTTCGATTCTTTTTGGTGAATCACACGATAGTGACGATTAGAGGCTAAAGTGCCGTGAGTCTTTTCGGCTCCAATAAGGTGGATTGTCTTGACGAAGTCTTGGAGAAAAAAAATACGGGCTTGTAATGCGGGCATGTTACATGCATGTATCCCTGCATCCGAGGTATTATGAGAATATAATTGAATTGAATTAATGAGAGATGATACCTTAGAATAGGTCATACAAACCCACGTTTCTTGGGCAAATATGAGAAATTCCAGATCCTTTTTATTTTACTGTTAACAATTTACCACATTCTTTGTGTTCTACCATAGACGATGAGTTTTCCTTTAATTGTTTAATTTTCTTTTGTTGATTTTTAGTGTAACAACAATCAAGAAGAATGGATTCGACCATGATGTGGATTGTGCACCAAGCAATGAACAATGCGCACGAAAAAATGCAGTCGAAAGAAGGTGTTCTTGAGCGCTTGAATGGGATATCGAGATTTTATGAATTGGCTGCAATGCAGCTGGAAGGATGCCTGAAGTTTGTTCGACAAGAAACGGACAGCTACACTCTCGAGAGCAGCTATGAGCAGCTGTTGGAAGACTTGTCTGAAATTCGAACGCGCCTTCAAAGGCGTCTCAAGGAGTCTGAGATGGCAATCAAAGCTAAGGATTTGGAGTTGGCTTCGCTGCTGCGTTCCAGTAGCACCAATATCAAGATCGAAAGAAGAACAAGAAGTGAGCCGATTGAGGAGTACATTCTTAATAACAGATTAAGTCGGGATGATGACGAAGATGATGGTGATGATAGAGATAACGAATTTTTCAGTGAGTTGAAGAATTCAGTGGATCAACAGGTTTTGAATATCAGGCAGAAGCTCGAGCCGGATTACAAGGACAAGGAAGGAAATCCGGAAATAGTAGAAGGTGTGAACAACAAGAGGATTGAGCAGATGGGTTCGGACATGTGGATCTTGAAGAAAACTTTGGATCTTGCTTTCGGGAAAATGCAGGATGCCATTTTCAAGTTTGATGTTGGGCCAATGGAGCAGCAATGGAGATGCACTGTTGAGAAAGATACAATGTCAATTTTGCTCAAAGGATGTATGACGGATTTTCAAGAAAAAGAGAATCAGGTTTCTCTAGGCTTGAAGGAGTATTGGTCTGATTTGATGAACGAGGTTGCAAACTTGCGCTGCGACTTAGAGTCATTCGTAGGTCAGAATGAGGTTGAAGCAAAATGTGTTGATTGGATGAGTATTGGAGGGAAAAAGCATTCACCAGAAGATTTTAGTCATGGAAAGCCGGAAAAGCAGTGGTCTTTAAAAAAGCAGCGGTCTTTAAAGGCTGAAGATTTAATGCAGGGACTCCGTGAAGAGAAACGGAAGAGGAGGGAGGGCACTATGTTTCAAAGATGATAAAGAATCACGAGTCCATCATCCGGATGAAGAGTGCAGAGGCAGAAGAGCTGAATTTGCTGAAGCGAGAGATTCTTCAACAAAAATTGAATTTGTCCAGCAGGAGAGAAGAGATGGGGATGCAAGAAAATAGCTTGAAAAGAAAGGTCCAAGAAATTATTTTGAGACTGGACAAATTGAGAGATTGGGATGCTAAACTGGGTGAAACTTTCAATAACTGCAAGTTCCATCACGAGGAAGAAACAGTCTTGGAGCACAGGTTCCCGAAATCTGATGCAAGTCACGGAGAGAACTTGGAACTTGATACGTTGGAAGATGTATGGGAGAAGATGGAAAAATTACCTTATGCTGTACATGAAATACAAAATGAGGGGACGAGAGCAAAGCAAGAACAAGAAGAAGAAGATTTGAGAGCCGTGATAATGGACAAGACCTATGTTACTCTTCTTGAAGGTATGCTAGAAGAAAATTGCACCGAGTTACATGATTATGAGTTAGAGAACACGATTTCGAATGACATATGCAAGGTTCTTCTTGCGGAAATGGTTTATCAATGGAAGGAAAACAGTGACGGTAACAACATTGAATCTCGATATAGAGAAGAGATATATTGCACCGTCATTCGTGAGGCAATCAAGGATTATGGCTCAAACGGTAAGATTGGATTAGTTAAGTGTCAGGATTTGAGGGCTGAAAATAGTACTTTCCTAGAAGGCACAATAAGAGAGGATGTATGCTGGACCCTTTTGCAGGAAATGTTCAAGGAGTGGAATGAATGCATAGATGGTCATGAAACCGAAAGCGTTTTCAGACAAGAGATAGACTGGCTTACTATTTCTGAGACTGTGAAAGATGCACTTAAAACTGCCAGTGATCAATTGGATCAGTATCGAGATACTGTACCACGAAGTTTCTTCAGAGTGCAGAAAGTTTTATCAGAGAGGATGTCTATACGGTTTTCATCAGAGAAACTATGAAGCAATGGAGATGGATATAAATGCTTTGAAGATGGAGAGTCTCGTTAGGGAGGAAATATATCAATTTGTCACTGTGAGGCATTTAAAGATGCATATGTCCTCTTCAGTGAAGCTGAGTCAGGGAATCAAGAAAAAATCTCTAAGTGGCAGGCTCTCCGCTAACAAGCTATGGAAAGGTACAAATGTCAATGCAGAGGAGAATTTGAATGAAAAGATAGATGTGGAGGATAATCTGGTGCTAAGTACTAGTTCTGAAGAGTTATTAATGAAAGGGCATACTTTCGGCTTAGTGAGCAGCAAACGAGCTAGTAAGGCTCTAGGAAGTCAGTTGGTGTCTAGTTTAGGACACCTCAGCTGACGGTTCAGAAAGGATATAATCAAGTGAGTCCTGCAGTAGTTTCTTCAGATTACCGAGAGCCTTCTCATTGCCAATCCGAAGCAAATGAAGAGATTACAATTAAACTCATCTGGTTGTATGTCTGCACCATGCCCTCAAATTTTCACTAGCGTTGGCAGATTTTGAGCACAGGACAAACGAAAAGTTAGAAATGAACTGTTTGAGGTATTGTTCTATGTACAAGTCATTCCTCAATAAAGCTTTCATTGTACTTCTAGTGTTCTTCTGGTAGACTAAGCACATTGCAATCCTACTCCTTTACAGATTGGACAAGATGAAGGATCGTTTAGATACACTAGTCAAGCTTGTTTCCTCCTTGAGAAAAAAGGAATCAGTTTATCAGGACGCTTTTACTCGGAGATGTCATGATCTCTGGAAGGCTGAAACTGAGGTTCTCAGCTGCAGTAAATTAATATTTTTGGTTTTGATTTGATTGTGAATAAATCATTTTAAGTTTAATATTGGTTGGAAATTTTGATGTGTGTCATATATAGGTTGATCTTCTTGGTGATCAAGTGGATGTTCTTGTAGGCCTTCTTGAGAAAACATACACAACACTGCATCATCATTCACCAGTCCTGCAGCAGTATTTTGAGGTAATCCATGTTTTCTTTTCCCCATTTCTTGTGCCGCAAGGCTCTGCGTTTACTGATGCTTAATTAATCCTGTCTATAATGCATAAACTTCTGTTTTACTCTGGAAATGTGAATAGTTTATCTTGGTTTATTCGCACTTGAATTTCCTGCAGGTCTCGGACATCTTAAGATTGATCAAGACGGAACTAAAGAGAGTTGTCAACGCATCAAAAAATGACATGTCCATGTCCATGGAAAATAAAGACAATACAAACAGAAACACTATGCTGCCGGAAAATACAGTAAGAAACCAACAAGGAAACAAAATACAACATTTCTGAATAGGCCGGCGAACTATACTATGTTATGTTATGAGAAGATCAAAAAGCAAGACAAAACCAAGCTGGCATTAGCTCTCATCCTTCGTTTTACCTTGATACTTTAGTAACAGATTTTTTCGCCGTCCACTTCTTGTCCTTTTCTGGTTTGGTGAAGGATAATCAGCTCTAGTTTGTACATATATGAACCTGCATTTCAAGTTCTCGATTGTTTTCTATACATCACTCGAAACCAAAAGCTCTCCCATGGCCAAGCTGCTACATTTATGCTCCTATTGTGTCCTAGTTTTGGTTCTCTACGTTAACTTTGTGACTTCCTTCTACCAATTTGGAGTGGGCGCACCAGGGCCTGGGCCCAGTGGAGGGCCAACGACATCACCATTGCCATCACCATCACCATCACCGCCATCACCAACACCAGAATCTGGACCACCTCCACCGCCTACAAGTAGCAAAGGGTCTTCACGAGGACTGAGTGGTGGACAGAAGGCAGGGGTAGTGTTTGGAGTGTTGATTGGGGTAGGACTGATCTGGTTTGGTGGCTACGTGTACAAGATACGTCGAGCTAACATTAGACGAGGGCGCTATGGAGTTTCAGCCAGGAGAAGCTATCTTTGATTTTTAGTTATTTTTACACGTCTTGTTAATTAGAGTGAGAGAGGAGAGAGTAGAAGAGACCAACATCAACGAATACTTGTTAATCCAATTTTTTATTTGATTGTTCTTCCTTAATACTGAAAAACTTTCATTTCCAATAAAATTTGAAAATGTCGTACGACTTCTTCATATCATAATCTTTTTTTTGTTTTCTTGAAAGTTTATTTGTAATTATGTGAGAAAATTGGACTAATGTAGCATGAAATATGGACGTGTTGCAATTTGTTATTTATAAACCAAGAAAAGTTTGAGCAAATAACGTTTTTGCTACAATGGCTAAAAGTAATAATTTCGTCTACTGTTTTCATCCAAAAGTTGTGTGTGATTTCCACATTACTTCCACCTTTTTCAAGAGTATTTTGGTGTTTTGAAATATCAATACAACTTTGTTAGAAGGGGTTTTTGGTCTGTAAATGGATGTAGTTAATAGTAGGTGACATATTACAACAACATTTTAATTAAGGTGACGTATTGATTCAATTTTATTTTTTTTCCTAAATAAGTGAGAAACGACAAGTTATGATTTGTTACACCCCCTATCAAAGCTACTTGCGTTACTAACTTGAGAGCTAGCGTACTTAATATGACCTCAACATATAATGAATCGACGCCTAAATCCAAGTGGTACTTGCAAAACGTTGCCTAAATTTTATTTTATTTTTTTTGTTTTAAATACAACTAAGTCTCCGAGATTTTATGTTATTTTTACTATTTTAAAGGAAATTACCACTTAGTACTATGGTCTAGTGATATTCCTCTTCACTTATAAGTAATTAAGAAGTTTTAGGTTCAATTTTTGCCAATGACGAATTTGAAACACATTATTGCTAGCACATTGTGAAGCTAAGCCTACCCACTTTCCTTTAGTGTAGATAATATCTTTTGTTTAAAAATTAAAAAAAAAAATTCTGAATTAAACGGCGGTGTTCTTTTTGTTTGTTGCAAAAGAGTAACCAAGTTCCAGCGTAAAAGTGCTGCCGCTTACCAATCTGTGGTTACTCAGGTATGATCTAATTTTCATGGACCAAGATTTGATGATGAAATTGCTCGATCGGATCTAATGTTTCATGAATATGTACATGTAGTCATCACATTCTATCTTGTTTCTTTTAAACCAATTAACATTTATCACAGTTTGCACAATTGTCACAAAATTGTGCATAGTTTTAATCGGTTTGATATAGTAGGAGAGAGTCAGGTGAAGAATCTAGGATCAGAATTTATCTCTTGATGTTGAGAGCGTGAATCCCCCGTCAGGAAATTAAAGCCTTGTTTAATAATTAAAATGATCTTTGGTGTCTTCCTCCCTATCGTCAATTGGTTTTGAGTGGAACCTCAACATTCATCCTTGACTGATTTCGGTTAAATGATTAAGGTATTAGCTTTCTTCTACTAAACCACAAAGATCATGTTTTTCTTCATCAAGAAATGATTAGTTCTCAGAATCTTTTTAGGGCAGGACTTCTCCAAGTTGGTCTAATTCACCAACACATTATGCTTACTGCAAGAAGCATCTCGTCTTTGTAAGTACTAAGTTTATCTTCATCTGTAATTCCATGGCATTACATTAGTGCTATCATAATGGAAGGCGACATGGCACGAAACGGAGTCCAACAGCTACTTACTGCGGAAGAAGAAGCTCAGCGTATTGTAAACGCTTCCAGAAATGGTAACTGTGATTTTTGCTTTCTATCTATTCCAGAGCTGTTGTTCTAAAGTTGTAAACTCACTTGTTCCTTTTTCTCCAGCTTAAATGGCTAGGTTAAAGCGGGTCAAGGAAGAAGCTGAGAAGGAGAATGATCAATTTCGCGCTCAAATGGAAATCGACTTTCAGAGAAAACTTGCCGAGGTAAAAACACATAAATAAGGAACAATATAGATTTGTTAATAACTTAATACCACGAGTCACCAGAAGCTACCACTTTCGTTAACTCTGAGCTGTCTATGGAAATCGATTCAAATTCTGAATTTTAGGAAGATAGGTGGTATGCTGGTTTGTTAAGTATGAATGGATGGAATTAGTTTTGGAGTTTGAAGTTTGAAGTCTGTCTTTTGGTCATTACGAGTGCCACAATTTATACGTGTTTTACAAGGTAATCGGAATTTTTGTGCATCATCATACAGGGAAGTGGAAACTTGGGTGCTAATGTGAAGCGGCTTGAACAAGAAACGGAGGCAAAGATTCATCAGTTGAAAACTGAGACTGCAAGATCGCATGACATTGTGCATATGCTTATGAACTACGCGATGAATGTGAACAACTTACAACTATAATCATGCAAAAGCTTGACGGCCACCTTTAAATACTACTCTATTGCCTTCTTATGTTTCTTTCCCTGTTTTCCCAATCGGTAGAGACTTTCTGCTTGGTAACAGTTATGCTTGTGTTCTCTCGTCTTCAGATTTATTTGCAACTTGTATTTGTTGAATAGTTTCCTTATAGAATAAAAAGATCCATTCGTGATCATTTTATCGATGCTCAAATGGTTGAGAAATGAGAACAAGGTGTTCTAATACTGATTGCTGCAAAGCTATCTGTAACGCTAAATTAGCTAAAGCAGAAAATCCATAAGGCCTCGTTGATCTAAAGAATCATGTTGTTTAGTTTAATTTCCGAGTCTGGTACCTCGTTTTTGTCCCTGCTAGGAATGAAATGCGAGGATATCCTGTACGATTTGCTCTCCCACTATTGCACAAGCAAAAAGTCCTGCCCCAACTAGTACAGGCCTTGCTCTTGATAAAGTTTTTCGCTCCTCATTTTCACATTCTTTGTTGTGCATTGCCCACGCCATTGCCGGTGGTAGAACTCCATATAGCATTGTCATACCATACCCTCCCTGCACAAAGAGTCAGTCAGAAGTCCTTAAGTTTTGCTTGTTTTCCTATATTTTTAATGTTAATATCTTTGTAGTTGATACAGTTATTACGCTCTTTCTTTATACTTACAGCAATGTCTGTGGCAGTAGAGAATGCATCTGGAATACTAGTCGACACAATAAGAGATGGACCAACAACCATTGCCACTGCTGCAAGGCTAATTTGATTTCTTCCCCACCATTTTCTCAGCTCGAATGTGATTTCCGGTTTCTGCTCTTGTTAAGCAGTATGTTAGTGCTCTACATGCTTTGATCTGTGAATTAGAGAATTCTTTGCAACATATTATTAGGGAGAGCAACTTCAAAGCTACCTCGAGTGTTTGCGTGGGGGAAGATATTGATGAGAGGTTGTTAAGTTGTTCTTTGAAAAACTCAGAGAAGCCAAGAAGAGTACCAATTAATGATGTTCCAATTGCAAGGAGTGAGAAAGCTTCTACCATATATGAAACCCCACTCCATTTCACCCTACCCCAAGTTAAAAAATATGGGATTATCAAACTATGTCAACTTAATGCAATTAACATAGTGTAAGAGATTGGATTTACCTCATAAGCAACTCAACAGGGTCAACAACTTGATCAGCCTGCGCAGAGAGGCCAAGTGCAATTGCATCCCAAACGAGCAATGCTAGCAGTGGAACAAGACTACCAAGAAATACCTGAAATCCTTAGGCGTGCGAGATCACTTCCCAAATAAGCACAAAGAACTGCAAACAGACTCAAATATTATATAACATAGTAAGTGTCAACTTTTCACAACAAGAACAAGTTCAATTCATCAAAGGATGGACGCTTTACCGGGTGCTAGGTCATGATACACCAGAGCAAAGATAATCACAGGTACCGTAGCGGGGACTTTCCCCCAATCTCCACTTCCCTCTACTCCTGACCACCCTCCAAACACAACTGCTAGCACCTCTATTGCTAGTAATAAACCTGGAAATCATTTGTGAACAAATGTGATATCTGAATATCAAAAATGTTCTGCAGAAAGACAACAAAATCTAGAAATTAGTTTAGATGGCACCACCTATCATGGAAGCAGTAAGGAGTTGGTTAACTTGATCAGTGGCTCGAGTCCCACCTATGGCGATGAGCAGGGTAAAAAACATGGTAAAAAAGAAGCCGGAAACTGGAGCCGGAAGATTGATCAAATGGAAGAGAATATCTCCAGACTTGGAACTATAAGCAATGACTGAAGTGTAGCCTAAGAAAATATAAATCAGAGTGACTAGAGTTCCACCAAAGTCTCCTAGAGTCTCTTGGGCCATAGTCCTAATAGAAATCACCTCCAGTTCATTTTCAGCATTGTCTTCGATTCGCTTCTTCCTCCTCATACTTACATTGATCTCGACAAGCAAAATCGCCTCGATCAGGAGAAACCCCCAACATACCACCATGGATATTGAACTTGGAAGCAATCCCTACCATATTTGTAAAAATCGAGTTGTAATTACAAATCACCAAACAACCAAAAAGGGTTTGCATCTTGCAAGAAGCTAATCTCGCCTAATCCTCAATGTCAAGAAAAAAAAAAGGATTGCTCTAAATTTGGTCAGAAACACTTAAAAGAGTTTAAGAATTAAAACCAGATGAAAGGGAGTTTAAGAATTACCTGCTGGAGAAGCTTTCTCCGGGAGTGCAAGGATCCCCGAGCCTATACTAGTACCGATGATCAAAGCAACTGCGCCAGCGATGGTTCCTTTCTTCTTGGGCTCCTTGGTAGGGTTTAGTGCCAACTGTGTAGGACCTGTCTGTGCCTTCTTTGCAGAAGCCTTCGGAGTAAATGATGAGTACTTTTTCTGCTGCTGCTGGAGCAGCAGCTGGTGGCAGGAACAAGCATTGTAGCTGGAGCTGCTACTTCTGAGAGGAACAGTGCTACATATATGTATTTATATTAAATTAAGCATTTGAAGCGAAGAGAAAGCAGAAAATTAATTCAGATGCATAATTTCATACATGTTGAGTTTTATGCAAATACTTGGGCTGTTTTGGTGAACTCTTCTTTTGTGATGGAAGGAGGTAGTCGATGTCGATGAAAACAAGAGTTTTGATTCCATATGTGTGTGTTGTTAGGGATGATAGATGGACTGTAGATTTGAGGTTTAAGCGATTTCCCAGTAATCTTGGAGGTGGACCCTAGTAGAAAAACGGTTGGTGCCACTCTATATGTCATAAGGAAAGACAAAGGGAGGGGTCCAGGTAAAGATATTTTGCTCTAGATTCTACAAGGGTCACAAATATATCATGTGTGGGTGCTGGTATTGGCATTTCAATACTGTTATTCTCATACGAATTTGTCGTTTTTTATAACGTTGGAATCAATGATGACATTTTTGAAGTGTCAATGCCAGTTTTCTAAACTTTTCAAAAAACTCGATGCTTAAAGCTTCATTTTGAAGGAGATTCTATCGACATTAAAAACTCATCTTGTACTCCTCCCTAGTGAGCAAATAAACAGAGCGGATGATGAAATTTTTTCTTGTGCTAAAACCAATTCCTTTATCTTAATACCTCCATCAACATAGTAGTAACATACTAAATATCATACATGCCCACGGATACAACCCTAATATTGGTTAGCATTCAGCAGTAGTATGCTAACAGAATCACAATCCAAGTGATGTATGGATTTGAATGATTGCTAAACCATGGCAGAAAGGGACAAGAATAACTGCATATACAGAGGACGAATTCTGGAACAAAGTGTGATGGAAAACAACACTACAAAATCTCATACAAACATTAGGAGGCTACTAATGGCAATTTTCTGCAGATTTTGTTCTTGGTCTAAACTTCAGTGTCCCTAGTTATCGTAGTGTATTTGACGTTTGGCAAAACTTTGACAAACAATAGGCGTAAGGTCAGGCTTTATTGTATCTACACGGCTTATCTGCATATCTCGTTTTGCACTCTAGATGTGTGGGGGAATGAAGTTTGAAAGATAACGTATTTATATGTGTCTTGAAGCAATCTTTCATCCTCTACATAATCATACCCACATGTTTCAGAAAGTTTTTTCCAACAATGTTTTCGGTTACTAAAAACCACAATCAGCTGTTAAATTATAGTTAACTAGCTACATATATGGGTTAACTTCATCGTTTTTCAGTTTCGCAATCTCGTCCAGAAGAGGTGCCAACCAAAGCAACGAGTCCCGTACTTCGTCAAATATATGTCACTTATGTTTGAAGAGGACTTGTCCCCAATACCGAGCAATGATCGGATGCATCTCTTAGTTGTTTTGGATACATCTCTCACTTCTGTTTAAAAAGTAATGTGTAATTAGCATGAGCTTTAGGTTCATGCTAATTACAAAAATATACATTGGGCCAATTAGACATGTATAACCCATCTCAACTAGAAAGCTTTAGGTTCATTGTATTGGGATAAATAATTTCTTCTAATCTTTTAGTTTTGGATTATCCTTTTATCTTGGTGTGACAATTGCATTTAATAATTTTGTAAAAACATCACCCCATGTGTATTTGAAATGGGTATTGAAATTATTTTGACTCTGACTTCATACGCGTTTATGTTATATGGAACTAAAATTTGGAGTTCACAATTTAATTTCATAATTCAATATCTGAAAATAGATTGACTAATGAATGTAGTTTCCACACCTTCTTTTTCTCCCATGTTTTTTTTACTTGCTCGACTCATTACTTTTTATTTCTAGTCAAGTGAAGTTTCGTAGCATGACATGTCCAATAAACTAGGACAATGGCCCAAAACGGAAAACAAAACCCAAATCACATGGATCCCTATCTGCTTAGAAGCAATGGGGTCGTCCTAACTGTTGTCTAGCTACTAGTACATCGTGAAACTTATGGGGGCAAAATATTATTTAAATGTATCACATTGCATGGCTTGTAGAGGAATGTTAAGAGCACTCTATTAAAAGTATAGATTTTCGGTCATCTCATAGTTTTACGTTAATTTTCATGTTAACATCATCAAACATTGTGCAAATAACATGAAGTAGGAGAGAGTCTATGTAAAGTCTCACTTTTGAGAGAGTCTCATTAACATTTCTCTGGTTTTATTAATTTATTGTGATCTAACATCCTAGTGGATAATGTGTTGGGTTTCCACGCATGGGTCTCAAGGTTCGAAACTTCCCCCATCCTAAGTTATGTTTGAACGCTCCCCCCTCTTGATCCGTTGTTTTTGTTTGATTTATTCAATTAGACAGTAAGAAATAGAGAGAGGTGTGCAAGAAGTTAAAAGTATAGGCGAAAACTACATCCCTATTTATAACTAATAGGAAGGGATGTGTTAGAGATAAATATGAAATGGACCTGGGCGGTATGGATAGCAATATGAGAGGGGTTGTGACAGTCAACAAGAGAAGCCACTTAGTTCTACGGTCTAATTATATTCCTCTTGTAAGTGAGAGGTTTTAGGTTCGTTTCTCGCCAAATATGAAGTTAAATCACATTATTATGGTAAGTCCATTGTAAGGCTTAACCTACTCTCCACCCTTTAGTATAGATACTATCGTTTGTTAAAAAAAAATATATAAACAACAAGACGAAAGGGTTCAATGTGGGGAAAATTTAAGTCTATTTTGTACATGTTTTTGATATTGTTATCGAGGAAAAAGTACATATTGCATGTCTTGCCTAGGCAAATATAATGTACTCCTTAAGTGAAGACACCATTAGGGCTTAAAAGATATAGCGAAAACTGATAACCATCAATTACTTCAAGTTACGCAATTATCAACGGTTCATGTATCTGCTCAACTCATATAATCATCATTCAATTTCACTTCATGTCGGATTGTCATTTGTAAATGGAGGGGAATGATTTACAGCAACCATTGCTCGCTTTTGTTGACGATTATTGACTATTGATCAACATGAATGACCGATAATGACGTTCATTCCTTCACACTGACAATCATCTACCCATGTTGCTCATAGGGGCTTGAAATTGGATAGAATATTTTGATCAAGTCTTGTATGTCATGCTTCGTGAAAGACATAGTGGTAGTAGTTTACAAGCACTAAGCAAAGCAATAAAGGCCAAGTGGAACACTAAAACGATGTTTGTGAATATTAGTGGAACACTACAACTATGTCCTTCCCTTACTTATCCTAAACAAATCACTAATATTTTTGTGGATAATACGTAATGGAACTGTCTAATCAACAACTAAATAATCAATTAACCTAATTAGATAAAAAAAATTATAAACTCCCCAGACATAAGGGAGCTCTGCCTAACTAAGCAAATTTTTTTTTTTTTTTTGGTTTTTTTGGTTTTTTTGTTTGTGGGTTGAGCAATAGCATTAGTAAGTTAGATGTTAAATTAGTCACTGACGAGATTCAAACTCACGCCGTTATGTAAAGCACAACACCTTTTCACTACTGTGATAAATGACCACTTGCACCTAATCAATCTTTAATTCAGGTTTTTGGGGCAAGAATTCCATAAACAAATTACTGTTTTCAAAGACTTTTTTGGAAATTTGGAAAAATAACCAAAATTAGAACTCTATATAGAATTATAGGCACCCTTTTAAATTTATGATAATTATAACTAAAATCTAATATATAAAGTACTAATACACCCTTATGATTAAAACTTTTTACAAAACAAATCCAAAGAAATTCAAAGCCACACTTCAGCAACCTAGACAATTCCAGCCCTCTCAAAAGCTTTTTGGTTATTTTTCCATCTGATATTAACAGTTACTTCTCTAAATTTTTCAAAAATCCCAATCTTTGTCATCTTCTTCCCATCCCAGCAAAACCCAGAGGTTGGAGCCTCACACAAGGTTACAATTTGTTTTTCGAAGACAATCGTATCATTTATTCAAGGTAACCACTAAGCAGTAAGCTCTCCCCCTTTCTTTCCTTCTTGTAGTTCTCTTTGTTGAAGATCAAATTGGATTTAAGTACACGTTAAAATCAAATTGAGCTCAGATCTGTAATAAGATTTATAGAAAAGGGATTGTGCTTTTGTAGATCAACTTTTTGCGGAGTTGATTTCCATAAGAAAAGGAGTTGGAATTCGATAACACCAAAACGAGTTTTGTGGTTACAGTTCTAATATTTGCAATGGTGGGCGTAATTGCTTTCCTTATTACTAAAAGGGTATATTAGTATTTTTATATCAACTTTTGATTCTAATTATAATAAAATTAAAAGGATGTACTATAATTCTATATAGGGTCCAAACGACCTGTTCAAGGCCCCTTGTTCTTCAATTATAAACCCGCCCCACCCAATTTCGTCTCTACCAATTTTGGCCGCGCCCCTTCCTCTCCCCCACAACAAACAACTATTTTCTTCCCTTATCCTAAACAAATCGCAGATATTTTTGTGGATAATACACCATGGAATCTAATCAGCAGCTAAATAATGAATAAACCTAATTCGACAAAAAAATTGTCAACTCCGAGACATAAGGGAACTCTGCCTAACTAAGCTAGTCAATCTTTAATTCAGGCCTTTGGGGCAAAAATTCCATAAGCAAATTACTGTTTTCGAAGACTTTTCCACCCCCATTACTTACACGTAATTATAATCAATTAGCCCCCACAGTTTTCTGCGTTGAATTTGATTCAGCAGCTTTACGGTTTACCAGCAATGACTATCTTGTAAAATAAGTAAAGGACAATGTGTAGAAGACCATCTATTTAAATTATATTTTATAAATTAAATAACGTAGGTATTGATTATTGAATTATTATTTAAATGTTTATTAATGTGTTTTTTTTTTAAATTATTGATTATAAATTTTCCCTAAAACATTAGTGTACCTAGCATTATCCTTAAGTAAATATTAATTTTTGTTCCTTTCCAATGAAAAAAGTCATTAATTTATTCTAAGTTGACAAAACATTGTAGTTATATAAAACTAGCATATGGGCACACACAGTGTGTGAGAAATTTTTTTATTTTTGTTTTTGAAATAGAAGGAGAGAGGAAGAGAGTGGTAGAGAATGTAGGAGTGGGAAGCTTTTTTTTTTTATTTTTTTTTTATTTTTAATTAGAGATATGTTAGGATTACATGTAGACGAGGTTTTGAAAAAAAAAAACAGCAAAATTTGGTTGTGTGAAATTACATTCTGCCCCATATTTCTTATTCATGTTTTGTTTTAATTAGAGAGTTATACTGGTAATTTCATAGGATTTTGGCTGGCAATGAGTGTATTATTAATTAGTAGAGATTAGTAGGGATAAATAAAACTTGGCCTTCTTCGTACATGTGACGTGTGCTTTGTATTTGAAAATACTGCATTAACATGTTCAATTAATTTCATCCCATTTGGTAACCTCTAGTAGAAGGACGACAACAATGTTGCAAGTTAGAGATAAATAAACCAGGATCATCTGGCTGTTTTCTTGGGTGGAAGGCTGGCTATGCAAGGATTTTAATTATAGCTGTTTATACAGATTTATGACATGTTTACGTAAGGGTAATCGAAAAATAGTAATAAATAAATAAATCTAGTGGGGCTCTATACAAATTTCGGAATCCAACTCTAAAATTTAGAAGAATTGGATTCCATAGAATTTGGTGATATTTGGATTCGAGATTGTTGAGAATCAGAATGGACTTTTTCTCCTCATTACGCGTTCACTTATTTTTAAAATTTCAAAATTGACCTTTATTATTGGTAATCAAAGGGTTTGTGAAATCTGGCGTAACTGGAGGGGCAACCGAAACATGGTCCGGGTGATTACTCGGTCAACTGACTCAACTCCCTCCGGGCCTCCACCAATCATCTCCATCCTAACAAGTCGTTGCCCAACCCAACCGGCAAGCAGAGCTCACGCTCCAAGCCCAGTCGACCAATGAATTTTTCAAGTAATGATATTACGTAACGTTACGAATTATTTAGATTATAAACATATATCTTATTATTAATATTATATTTACAGTGTTATTATTGTTCTTTCAAAAGTTTTATCCTGCACTGTTCGTTCATAAGTACAAACTTTGTAGAAATATTAAAAAAATTTAAAGTGCACGACAATATTTTTGAAACGCAAATAATAACACTTTTTTTTATTATTATAAACACTATTAATATTTTAAGTTAGAGAAATTAGGTTCTCATCCTTATTTTTTCTACTCAATTGATTAAAACCTTATTTCTTTTCAAATTTTGATCAAGGTTCTTCGATTTTAATAAACGCCATTAATTATTCCAAAACAAAATATTTACATGTCAAGATAATTATGTTTTATTTTTAAATATATTCATTTAGTGTTAGGAACGTTACATTTGATATATTATATTTATGGCTAAACTTTTTATCATATATTTCTATTTCTAGTTTGTATCCATTTTTAATTTGCAATCATTTTTTAAATTGTACCAATTTTCTTTGAAATTTTAATTTGTACACATATATTAATTTCTTTTTGTCCCTTATTTTTTAAACTTTTATTTGTACACATAATTTTTTTAACCTTTTATTCATACCCATAATTTATTTATAATGTACCCATTTTTTTTTTTACAAATGTACCACTTTGTTATATGTATAATGTATCCCTATTTTTTTTTTTTTTTTTTGTAAGTACCATTTTTTATGTAAAATGTACCCATTTTTTAATGTAAAATCTATTTATTTTTTAATCTAAAATGTACCATTGTTTTTTTAATATAAAATGTACCATTGTTTTTTTTTAATATAAAATGTACCCATCCTAGTCTTGACTCTGCCGTAACACGATATTGTTCGCTTTGGGCTTACCATTCCCTCATGATTTCGTTTCTAGGAACTCACATGAGAACTTCCCAGTGGATTACCTATCTTGTGATTGCTCTCGCCCGAACTCACTTAACTTCGGAATTCTAATGAAACCCGAACCTAGTGAGTTCCCAAAATGCCTTGTGCTATATGGAGATGGGTATGTACATATAAGGCACATCATCCCTGCTCCGTTGATCGATGTGGGATGTTACATAACAATTAGAGACTAGAGACTGCAAATAAACTATCTGTTTAAGCTATACTAAAGGGGGGAAAATGCCAAGCTTTGATACACAGCATGTTGAAGAAAAACCTCAAAACTCATTGTACCAATCCCCGACTTGCATTGACGTTAAGTTTCAAATGCATATATATTTTGCCACTCAATATTTTTGTCTAGTGATATTCCTCTTTACTGATATTCTTCTTCATTTACAAGTATAACTTAGCCAAACTCTTCATCCCCTTAACTTAAAATATATCATTATCCTAAAAAAATGAAATTCATATATTTTTTTTTTCCGGCAATATCTTTTAAATACATAAATTAATATTCAATATCAACGAGTGGTATTTACTATTTACCGTCGTATTAAGGTAAAAAAGAATCTCCATTGACCGGACAACGTCAGCACGTAAGACACGACTGGCCCCCACAACCCCAGCCGTCTCTAGTCCAATCAGGGTCAAATTTGTCATAGAAAAATAAATTTAGACCCAAATGGAAAATAGAAGCGGGAGGCGAGTGTCAGCAGTGGCAGCAGTAGTGCGCGTCCATTCGCTCACCGAGACGGACGTGGCGCGCGGGGCCCCACGCGGTAACGACAAGGGCGCGAAGGATGGAAATTTTCTTTTTAGCCCCCAACAGACCGTTGATCACGGACGAACAGAAGTCCTCAGATTCTCTAACCGTCGGATCAAACGAGACGAGTCAAACCAACGGCCTCAGCCGTCCCCGTCCCACTGGTAACAGTCTAAATAAATATTAAAATAACCACCCCAGGGTAAAAGCCCACCACGACGTCGTTTGTCAGTTGATATATATTTAATTTAATAAAAAAATTGAAGGGGTATATAAAAAACAGACATGCTCTGCAGAGCTCTGTGTGTGTTTTGCTCCTCTTCTCTTCTTCTTGCTCTGCAATTCATTGGCTTTTTCTCGGGTTCTGGTTTTTCATGCTGCTTTGTTGGCGTGCTCTGTAAAAGCACCCGAACTTACCCCCAGAACGACCTCGTTTCGTCCCTTCATTCCCTCTTTTATTTTCCTTCTCGGAGACTTCGATAAAACTGGAAGGCAATTTATTCCTTCTGCCTGAAGATTTTAATCATTCCAGATTTTTGGTTGCCCGAATTTTAATCATCCGAGATTTTTTGGGGAGGACGGCGGCGATTATGAATTCAACTCGGACCGAAATGCAGGAGCCGAGCATCGACACCGATAAGCTGAGCTACGAGATATTTTCGATACTGGAGAGCAAGTTCCTGTTTGGCTACGACGATCAGAAGCTCTGGGTTCCCAAACAGGTATCTCCGTCCCCCACGCCGGCCTCCGACTCCAAACCCGACCCGGTCCAGCTGGTGGGCGTTCAGCCCCAATCTGAAAACGGCTTCGGGGCGATCAAAAACCAGAGGGGCAAAATCTGCATTCTCAGCATCGACGGCGGCGGAGGAATGAGAGGGATTCTTTCCGGAAAGGCCTTGGCGTATCTCGAGCAAGCGTTGAAGCAGAAATCGGGGAATCCGGACGCCAGAATCGCCGATTACTTCGACGTCGCCACCGGAGCCGGCGTCGGAGGTATATTCGCGGCCATGCTCTTCGCCACCAGAGACCATGCCCGTCCGATTTTCAATGCCGAAGACACGTGGCGCTTCCTCTCCGATCACGGCAAGAGCTTGTTCAACAACAACCGGTCCTCCTCCTCCGCCTCCTCCCCCGGTTTTATGCGTCGCCTCTTTCGAAGTTCCGGTTCGGGCTCGGGTTCAACTGGGTCCGCCACGGCCGGTTTGGAAAAAGTAATGAAAGAGGCGTTCGCCGACGTTGATAGGACGCTGACGTTGAAAGACACGCTCAAGCCGGTTTTAATTCCGTGCTACGACCTTTCCAGTAGGGCGCCGTTTCTGTTTTCCAGGGCCGACGCGCTCGAGACCGACAGTTACGACTTCCGCCTCTGGGAGGTCTGCCGCGCCACGTCAGCCGAGCCGGTAATCTTCCAACCCGTCCAAATGCAGTCCGTCAACAACCAGACAAAGTGCCTGGCCGTGGACGGCGGCTTGGCCATGAGCAACCCGACGGCGGCGGCGATCACGCACGTGCTGCACAACAAGCAGGAGTTCCCGTTCGTGCGAGGGGTCGAGGACATAATGGTCCTTTCAATAGGGAGCGGTCAGTTTCTGGAAGAAGCGAGGTACGAGTACGAGCAAGTGAAGAAGTGGCGAGCCAAGGAATGGGCTCGGCCCATTGCCCGAATCGCCGGCGACGGGTCAGCCGATCTGGTGGATCAGTCCGTCGCCATGGCGTTTGGTCAGTCCGGGAGCAGTAACTACGTGCGCATTCAGGTACGAAACCGCCACACCTTTGCTAACGTGCGCACTGCGCATTTGATTCCAATTTTAATTGTTTTTTTTTTTTTGTCTCGGAATTAAATTTTCGGGGGGTGGGTGGGTTGTTTCCTTTGCCGTTTCTGTTGCCACTGACTACGAGACGACACTGTTAGCCAGGCTGGGTAATGTTAACTTGCGTGTAGAGAGTGCTAACTTGCGCCCGGGGTATGTGTTTCGCTTTCATGCAAATAAATGCGGGGTGTTTTGTAACGTAAAACCTTTGGCCTCGCGTGGGGGCGCTGCAATTCAAAGTTTTGCTATGCTGCAGGTGCACAGATTGGAGAAAAATTAGAGGACCGTTATGTTTTGTTTCCTTGGTTGAATGTTTTGCACGTGATTTTTCTTTGGGTTGGGTTGGGTAAGGGCGGATTCTAATATGTAACCCGGTGTTTACCACCGAAAAATGATTTCTGCACACTTATTTTTTGCGCTTGATTAACCTTTGGTAGTGTGTGGAAATTAAGTATTTTTCTCACTTATTAGTATCTGATGTCACGTGATAGGCGGTATACTAATGGGGTATGTCCTTGCGAGCTTGAGAGAGGTATGGTTTTGTTTTTTCAATCAAATTTTAGGACCGGGAGGGAAGGGATTTTGGTTGTTCCGGCGTCGGTTAGCTGACTAGGACTTTCTGTCTTGGTAGACCAACTACAACTAGGCTTGAAGCCTAGAGTTGACGGGTTGTCCTAGAAATCGTTGTCTCAGTAAATGAAATTGGCTTGGTTCTTAAAACTTTATGCTTTTTTCAACTTTGGTCCCACTGCAATTGCATCCTATTGAATTTCCCTGTGAAAATTAAAGGTATAAATTTTATTACCTTTGAAGCTTGCCTCTAGGGCAGTCTCCATAATGTTTTTACTTTATTTTTCCTTTTCTTTTACCTTAATTATCAGCCTTTGTTTTGCCCTGCTGTGGACAGTTGGAAAATCTTGACCTGGGTTACTGTGTGGAAAGTTGTAATTATCTCTAAACCATATATACTCAGACTATTTAAGTTGCACTACATATTAATCTTATTACTGTAGAAAGAGATATGTGGGACTTCCCTTCCGGTAACTTCCCTCCATTTAGAAAATGAAATGGACTTAATCGTAATATAATTTTTTTTAAAGTCAATATAAGTGGTCTGTAAATTGTCTGTCGTCAATCATTTTAGTTATCCCTTGAATAATCTCTGTTTAATTGAGGACATTTTTTTGTCAATTCAACCCCTCTACTTGAACAAGTGATTTCTTCAATTTAACGAAGATTTTTAACAAAAAAAAAACTAAAATGATTGATAGTGGACAATCTAAGAGACTATTTCTATCCATTTTAAATTTACAGGATCAAATTGAGAAGTTATGACAATCTCAAAGATTATTTTATTATAAGGCCAAAAAGCTATTATCATTGACCCACAACTTTTTCCCATATTCTGTTTCTCCATCATGGCATATTTTATCTATGAGGTGGTCCTATATTAGAATTTGAGCTGCCACCCAAATCCAAATTGTTTTAAACTGTTGGGTACATTTTGTATTAGCAATACATCCCATCAATTTGGATCTTTCCAAAGTTGTGCATTGCTTGGTTTTTAATATTACATGCGACAATGCATGTTTTTACAAATTCTTGTTTATTTCGTTTGGAATTAGTTTCTTAAATTTCTAAGTCTGGATCAATCTAGAAATTAGTTTCTTAAAACATGGCTAATAATTGGATGTTTAAATTGTAATATGTTAGGCAAATGGGGCAAGCTTGGGACGTTGCGGGCCAAATGTAGATACAGACGCAAGTCCTAACAACGTTAAGAAGCTGGTAGGAGTGGCAGAGGAAATGCTGAAACAGAAGAATGTTGAATCGGTGCTCTTTGGCGGTAAGAGGATCGGCGAGCTGAGCAATTTCGAGAAGCTCGATTGGTTTGCCGGAGAACTGGTGCTCGAGCATCAGAGGAGGAGTTGCAGAATAGCTCCCACTGTTGCCTTCAAGCAAGCTGCTTCCAAAACAACTTAGAGCTCAAAAGGTATGTGCTTTTTGTTCTGTTTACGAATTTTCATTAATCTTTATGTTGTGCTCAGACCTCATCAATCTGAAGAAAACAATTAGGAACTTATCTCATGATAAACGAAAACTCTATGGTGCTCAAGAGTATTTTATTCTCGGGTCAATGATCTAACGGTTAAAATGTATCCTAATTTTACGTTTTGAATTGAGTAGGACTCATGTTCTGCATTTGCGTTTGACGCATGCTGACTAAACAACTAGTGCATTTTATGTCATTTTTGAAGCTTGTAAAATCATCAAATTAGGTAGATCTGTTATATATATGATTAGTTGTCAGAATATTATTAGAACAAGTACCTTCTGTAGTTGTGACACTAATTGCTTGTGTTATCTTATCATGCTAGGCGTGCATAGTATGAACAAATTTAAAAAAAAAATGTTGGTGGGATTCATATTATAATTATTATTAGTAAACTTAATTAATAAAAAGATTATGGGTTCCACTAATAATGTTTACATACATGCGATCTTATCATTTGTTTGGTACATGTTAGGTTCCATGAAACTTTGTCACGAGTATGCATTGAAAATTCTCAAACTTTTCTAGATTTTTTACCGTGCTCGGTATACGGGGTGGTACATCACGTGTCACTATATAAGTGGTGAGATACTTGTGTTAAAAAATTAACAACTTAAAAAATAAAAATTCCCACATCTTATATAATAACACGTGTTGTACCACCTGTGTTTCGGACACAATAAAAAATTTCTCCTGTTTTTCTGTGGCCTGGACTTGTCATGGTCTTCCTCCTTTACGACCATCGGTTTGTTGTTGTGATATATGTTTATGTATAGACAAGACACCAAAATAAAAAGCAAGGGTAAAAAAAAAATGAATGCTTAGAGCCCCATTTGCTGTCGGCCTACCGACACTTGAGTTGTTGACTAAAATTTTAAAGGACATTTTGGATAATTTCATCCACAAATTGGGAAAGGCATGGGAGGGGAGGGTGCTGTGGTCATTTGATAGGGAATCAAATCTTTGTGGTCCTAATTTCTAAAGGCAATTTCCGTAGTCCGGAAAAAAGGGTTGGTTCTTTTCCCTCCCCCTTGTGAGTCATGCTGCCATGCAAATGTTTAGTGTGAATGTTTTGGTTGCTGTGTTGCAAATGTCGTTGCCCTACCCAATCACACCATGCCTATTTGGGTGAAGACCTCATCCTACTAGCCAATTTAGAACTCAAACATTCAACTTCTTAAAATTACTTAAATGCCGCTCACTAAATTAGCAAATATTTTCCATGAAATAGTTACCGAGTCTGGTTTTTTGTTTCACTGATGCATCAATGTCTGTAGATTGTGTACACGTAGTGCTTTGCGGTCCATGACCTTTTATAATGCTCGATGAGAAGCGTATTCTAACATTGACAGATGGAAATGTTTATTTCGTGTGCAAATCACTGGGGCCATATGCTTGAGGCATTGTTTAATCAATCATGAGAAATGCCAAGAAAACTCTCTCAAAGTGAGATTCTGTATGGACGCTTTGTTATTTCACACTTGTAACGTTAATTTCTGTGTCAATATTATATAACATTGTGCTAAAATCATGAGCTTACAGAAAGTTCACGAAGAGTCTGAATTTTGATGAGTCTCCTTAGAATTTTTCATCAATCATTTTTAAGACCAATATGTTAGGTAGAGCCTAGAGGATTAGGACCGGCAATTGTCTAGAATGCTTTAACGGTCGTAAATTGTTGTGTCCCAGTAGTCTTATATAATTAGTTGTATGGAAAATCACATGGACTAATTACATTTAGTAAACCTGTGGGGTATCAAGTGTTAGGGTTGGTACACTTCCCAACTAACTTTTAACAGACTTCTGGAAAGAAAAAAAAGAAAAAAAAAAAGAAAAGAAGCCAAATCGGTCAAATTTCTAAAGTTTTACACTGTTGCTTTCATCAATCATCTTTTTTGTTCAAACTGTTGTATCTGTTTCCTTTACTTTTCCAAGTCGTACTGGAAGTTTGTATGAGTACGTAGAAGAAATGTCATACATAAGAAAGTTAAGAAATCTTGTAACGGCTTATAAGGTGTTGAGTCATTCCTACTATTACCAATTGGTTTGAGCACGGAACCTTAACTTCATTTAGTTTGAACAGTATACTTTCGATATTAACCCGACTTTGAAAAATTGAAGCCCCTTGGCAAATGCAAATCATATATCTTTATGCAATTCAATGTATGTTTTTACCTGTAGAAGTGAATCATGACAATAAATATTTTGTCCCATATATTGCAGGAGAATAGAGAGACATCATCAAGGAAGGAAGAAAAAACAAGAGGAGAAAAGTAAATTGCCACAAACAGCTTTTACTTTTTTGTAAGGTGAATAGGACAAGTAGCCAGTTTGAAAAAAGGGGTGGGGGGAGGGGAGAGATCTGAGGGGGATTTCTTTGCCTGCCAGAGGACATGCATTTGTGGCTTCCCACTCTCAACCTTTCTCAATGTCAAGGGACCAAAGTGAGAGAGCTTCAAAAGCTTTTGAGAGGTTACACAGACAAAAAAGAATCAGGTATCATATATTCAGTTTCAAAAATTGAGTACTCATCATGGGTGGGAAAATCTGCTTCCATGTTTGTTATTTCGTCCCATACCCTTTTCTTTCTTATATTTTTCACTTTTCCCCCTAGATGTTTTTCCATTTCCTGTCTTTTCATCCTTATCTCAAGAAACTTGAGGGGTGGTGGTTGGTGGTGGCCGGTGGTGGTACCCAGAATTGAAAAAATAGTCAAAGCTATTTGTCTGCCTTTGGCTTTTTGTTTTTATTTTCTCATTGAATATATATATATATATATATATATAGTAGTGGGGTGGGAAAAGTAGTTTTTCAGGTGTGGTGTGGGTTATAATTTTGAAGCAACTGACCATATCTTTCTCTCCTGGGGGTGGGGTGGGGTGCTTTCTAGTTGTTGGAGCTTTCTGGGGTTGGGGGAGAAAAGTAGTATTCTTTGGTTTTTCCTGCATGTTCAAGTGTATAATATTTGAAGTCGCAGAATTATTTAAAGAAAGCAATTTCCACTTTTGTTCTTCTTCTCTTAGCTGTGTACATTTTTGTAATTTAAACAAGTGTTTGGTTTGGTTGTTTTGTTCTGGTGGCTGTGGAGTTCTTCACTTTTTCTTGAGTTAGCTTTCATGCTTTTGACTTTCTGTTTTTTTTTTGAGGAAGACGTATATGGAATGAATACGCTATTTGATTGACATGGGACGCTATATTGACGGTATACCCGCACCATATAAAGTTTTGTGGCATTATTGACTTTAAAGAATAGATGGAGAGGGTTGGCGGGTTTGAAACGTTTTAGTCATGATGTATCTGCGCATGAGTTACTTTTGTGTATGCTTCATGGAGAAGGGTCAGCGCGGCTGCTATGAACACATTCTTTCACTACTTTTAATAGAATGAAAGTGAAGATTCTATTCAGACCCAAATATTCACTCACAATTACTATCCACATCAGAATCCACTACCTTTAACATATATATATATATATATATATATGTGTTTCATATTTTTGGTTCATACATCGAGTTCTCTTTTTCTAAGTTTGGAGACTTTAAAGTTCTAAAAAATTTTGGACTCCATTTTTACAATAAGAACTTGACCAATCAATTAGTTAGTACAAAGGTACTATTAAAACACTACAAATGGACTGCAAAGACACTAAATTAAGGACTTATAAGCAGTAGCAGAGCCAGAATTTTCAAATAATTGGATCATTATTTCAACCAAAAGAACTTCATTGGATCGTTCCTTGAGCACCTGATAGGAGGCATGTCAATCCTTGCAACACACGTTGAAGGCTTTATGCCAACTACTATATGATATGTAAAGGCTTGTCACAGGAAATTGTAAAGTAATGTTGAAGACTGTAAAGGGTTGTCAACTGAGGTATTTCATCAAGCATCTAGTGCACACTATAGAGTCACACACATGAAAAGAAAAAAGGAACATGGATGATAGAAAAAAATATATAAGAAGTAGGACTAGGAGGTTGTAATTTAGTTTGTTGTAACTGTTTATAGGATCAAAAGCAATACATACAAATATACATGGGTTGTTTAAGTTGCTGAGGTCATAGACAACCAATGACCCCATGTTGACTCTGCTACGACTTACAAGTGGAACCTTTCAAGGTATCATTTGAAAGTTCCCTCAAGCGTATTTCATCCATTCATTCCTAAGTATATATATTTGTCTAATAATTTGTGAATGATGGAAACTATAAAGCTTATAAATAGTTTTCAAAACTGTTTATATTATATGCAATATTCATCTTATCTTAACGAAGAAGTTTTTTGTTGTCTCACCGAGTACATATGCCACATATTTTCGATCCCTATCCTTAGTGTTCAGACCAACTATTAAGTTTGAGGAGGAACCAGTTTGATCGATCAAAAGGCCAAAAGCAAACATTGAGAAAAAGTGTATATGTAGCAAAATGTAACTCGTTTTTCATCCATGCCACTTTATCTCATGACCAAGGAATCCAAAAAGTATTACTCTAAATCTTTCAAGATCAAAGAAAGATGTCCAATAAAATTCCCCCAAAAAAAAAAAGGAAGAAGGAAAAAGTGCAAACTTTTGGGACCTCATGCAAACCATGACTACTTGTTTGTAATTAGTTACTTGTGGTATTCAATCTTTTGTAGGTAGCTTCTGCCCTCTTTGAAATTGCCTCTTTAGTGTGGGCATCTTATCACTGTGGCCATAATTATTTTGCAACTTTTGCTTCCCAAACTTCCCCACTTGATTACTACTACATGCATGGCAAGCAATTTGCCTAGGACTTATGATCAAGCAAGCATCCAGTTTACCCAACTTTAAACACAATTAGTACAAGAAGTTGAAGCCAAAAGGGTTGATTAGACCGATATTACTCCGCATAAATTGGCTTTAATGAAATTTTAACCAATCATTGACCCACCCAATCGAATCGGTGCCTCGTTGGGGTATACCTCCTTGTCTACCTATTTGCGATTGACACATTCTTGTTGTCTTCATGTCATAACCAGAATCGTTCAATAATTACCTTTTAAGATTATCTTTTAAAAAAAATTGAACTGACATTTGAATAGCAATCCATATGTATTAAATAAAAAGACGATTCACCATGAGTATCTTAATTGTTATCCAAAGCATTGATTTGCTTGATTATATAAGTCACTGAACGATCTCTAATTCAATTGATTTCTTTAAAAAGATGATTGTTAAATGATGATCAAATATATGAACAGTTTCAATTATGATACGCGTATGACTAGAGTTTGTTAGTCATACACAAGAAATTGCACTCAAGGATGCACCTAAATCTTGTTCAACCAAATTGAGTTTCACCTGAACCAAATTATTGTTCAACCAAAAGTATATTGCGAGGTTGGCAGTGTCTGCCCTTTTGCATTTTAAGTAAATATTCAAAGTCCAATCCCTAGCTATTACCCTATGCTTAACAACTTTTCCGGCCTATTTATGAAAAGAAAAGAAAAGTGAATCCGCCCTTTTAACCCTTCCCCATAACCTTTCATTTTTTTTTATTTTTATTTTTTGAGATTCATTACTTGGGCAAAGATGTCAAACATAACACGGAGAGCCTACAACAAGGCAAGCAGACAACAAAGCGAGAGAAATACATCGAGCAGTGGAGGGAGTTACAATGAAGACGCATTAACCAAGCTAACGCGTCGTCCTCTTCACTGCTCTCACAACATTAAGGAGGACAAGGTAAATCATCATTGTGAACCACATGAACTAACGAAGATGGGGGTTTGTTGACCCAGGTAACATCACACATCTCCGGACTTCTCTACAACGCCAACGAGTCTGCCATCATCTTGGCTGATCTTGGAGTCCAAGACCAGTGACAACCCTAGAAAGACTCCCTAGCCTTTTAACTTTCACTAAGGTAGGGTAGGCCTCCCATTAGCCATTTTCCAGCGAATCCGAAAGAGAGGAAATGAATTCGTAGGAATCAAATTCAACAATAACCATTCAAAGCCCCAAAGCCATACCAAATTCACATCCTTTGAGAAGGGCTAACGCTTCAGCTGCATCAACGCATGCGACAAAGTAATGATCAATCATCAAACCCTAATCTCCATTGTAATTTGGCTTTGTCACTCTTTTCACGCGTAGCTTGATGTATATAATATGTAAACCACTTTGTTAAAGTTATATAATTTTTCGTGTGAGCGTATGATGTTAGCGTCTTTCATTCAGTAATTATATTTATATAGATCATGAAGTAAAAGAGGAGCCTAAACTACAAACTCGAAGAAATTCCCCTATTTGGTGATGACGTAGCAGCATGGAGCATGCATTATTTGTTGCGATAGAGTGGGAAAATGGCACGTCATTGTATGAAAGTCGTTTCTTAATTTGGTGCTAAGTCCTTATTCAAGACAAAAGAAAGGGTACAGAATATGTTTCCATTTTGTCACCTTCTTCTCATCTTTTTATATTTGTATTGTTTTGGCTTTTATTTTTGGGGTTGGATGGTAACCCATCTCTAGCTCCATCTAGAGCATTGCATGGTGCTCGGCTCTTCAATTTTTTGCCAAATAGTGTTTATAAACGTTATGTCGTCTCTATCCTACATGACATGACACAGACCTCTCTCTCTCTCTCTCTCTCTCTCTCTCTCTCTCTCTTGTATAATATAAACGTTAGTGGACGAAGAAGATCATATATAAGCTTTCTAATTGACATAAATTATTTTTGACAAAAAGGAAAAAAAAATTGACATCAATTATTAGAGTATGATCTTATCATCTCCAATCCACACATTACCATATATAATTAGTTTAAACAAGAGGGTTTGTTAGCTACACAAATCATATATAATTCAACATGACATCATGATGTGATGTGGTCTAGGATTATCGATGATTAAGAACTCCTGCTTTATGTTAAGATGAATCACACATTGATGAGATAAGGGATTTTACATGAGTTTGTAATTAAGTAAGTTGTGTTACTTCTCATATTGCCATTTGGATTTACAGTGGAACCTCAACTTCCTTCATGGTATTAGAGCAAGTTGTCCCATGTGTGAAGCCCAATGGTCAGACATGCTCCCCATCACCTCGGTTGTGTTGTCCGTGTGTTTGGCTTGAAAATTTGCCGCACGTGAGGGTGCATGTTGAGACAAATCCCACATTGATAAGAGAAAAGACATTGCATAAGCTTATAAGTAAGTTGAGTTATTCTGTATATTGCCAATTAATTTTATGATAAAACCTCAACTTCCTTCACTTTATATATAATTATCATTCTTAATTAATACCTTAGCAGACCTAAATCCTTATTTTACTTCTGTTTAGTGAAAAACAACAAATCAATTAATTAAAAATAAAAAAGCATAATATCGTGGGACATTTACACACACACATAATACACATATTATAATGTGTATTATGTGTGTGTAAGGGAAAATATTCTCATTTTTTTTATAAAAATAGGGATTAGTTGTGGGGTCCACACCATATCGAACTTTAATGATCCGAACTGTTTATTTTTTAAGTTGTACCTCATAGATCATTCTTACAAAATATTAGCCAAATCAGAAATATTTAGGACATCTAATTGGATTCAAAGAAATGAACGAATACTTTGTTATGTAAGAAACAATAAAATTTGATTTTATTAATTAAATAGGTAAATGATTTTGGATTGGATTGAATTGAAGAGCGTGCGTGCGTGTGTGTGTATTTGTATGTATATGTTCCTCCTAATTAGGTATCGTAGTTTCTAAATAATGGTTATTAAGTCATCGAGAGTATTACAAGTTTAAGTAATCGATCGAGTTGGTTACTGCATGCGTCTACGTTTCGATCGAGTTGGTTATACGTTCCTCCTAATTAGGTATACGTCTCATGCAATGATCAATAAGGATCAGGATAGATCAATCAAGAAGGATGTAGAACCCCAATACATCCAAATTAATATAAGTATATTTATGTACAGTGTAGCTATCGGTGCATGCATATGTCAGGATCGCTAATTAAAAATAATTATCTGTTAAGCGTATACGTCAGTTCACTGATAATTAAGGGACTAATATCGATCGGATTAATTATGAAAAGGAAGCT